TGTCTTTATGCTCTGCAGGAGAAATTCTCTGCTGTGGTCCATCTTTCTGATCAGCAGGTCTATCCTCAAGCGGCCTTTTTGATCGTCTCGATTCTAGGGGGATTTTCTTAGTACTTCGTTCATCTCTTATACTCGACGGTGGAAAAGCATCATCATTATGTGGATGTTTACTTAATCTAGCCTTTCCAGACTTGGGGGGTGGAGTAATACTCCTGGTTTTTCTCTTTGGAGATGATCGCCTTTCTTTTCTTTTGGGAGAATGTAACGGTGGCGAACGTGATCTTGACCGAGACCTTTTTCTAACATTTGCTTTGTTCACTTTAATATCTTGTTTTATAAATGTCTCAAGTCTTCCTTGCTTGTTTAGAGACCCATTTATAAGCTTGCCCCTGGACTTTAGATGATCCAAGTTTTTGACACCTTCATCCTTCTCTTTCTTCTCTGAACTTCTTTTCTTCTCTTTATCCTCATCTTTTGAATCTGTCCTTTCATGCATCTGCTTATGTAGCCTTGGGTCCTTCTTATTCACTTCAGCCACCTTTGAATGTTCAGACTCCATTCCTCTGGGTCTGACAAGGACACCTTTTCCAGATGGTGACATGGACTTAGATTTAGGTCTTTCCTCACCGGTAGAGTTATCCTTTTTTGGAATCCTCAACTTACTTGGTCTTTCAGCTGAGACTTGTCCTCTTTTTCCTGATGTATTCAGAAAGCTTGGTGTAACCTGATTATCCTTCTTATGAATCACTTGTTCCTTTGCATTTACAGCTGTGGCACCAGGTCTATTTAATCTAGGATCTCTGGTTGACAATTTTTCTGATGGTGCTGGAAGCCAAGGTTTGGTCTGTGGTGCAGGAACCGTTTGACTGAAACGGACTGGAGCACTGGCATGGTGGTTTGAAGCAATAGCAGGACTGGCAGCCTTGAGGACAAAAATAGCAATTCTCTTTTAAAAGTGTTTTAGGCACACATCAAGAAGTATGAAGAATGTTGATCATACTATAATACTGATCATAATTGTTGGTCATTAGACCAACTACAGCTTCTATGCAGTCCCATTACATAACACCTGTTCTTGACAAATTATATAATTTTAAAACGGCAAATACTGACTTGCAGCACACTTTACAGTTCAGCTTGTTATAAAGCATGTGTCTACTAAACTCACCAACTGAGCTTTAGTTTGTTCAAGTTCAAGCTCTATCTTCTTTTGCTGAAGTTCTAACAACTGCTTTTGCTTTGCAAGCAATTGTTGTCTTATCATTTGCTCTTGTGTCAAGCTCGGAGCTGGAGGTTGTGGGGCAGGAGGCTTTGGAGATGTTTCATCAGTCTATGCAAAGAGAAAAGCATACATTTCAGATAAACCATAGCAGTACATATCTTCCCACCCCTTGGAAATTAAAGGATCAGTCAGAACTCCTCTAATGCTTACCGGTTTTAAAAATTTTGGGTTGACATGAATGCTGGCATTCACATTTGGTGGCAATGGTTTTATAGGCCAGGCAGGATCTACAGAGTTCACACGCACATCTAGTGCATATAACTTCTTCAAGGGGAAAATTTCATCCCATGTGGAACGCAATTTGAAGAGACTTTTTCTAGTGGCCTCATCCACCTAAAGTGAATCAAAAAGAAAGGGGGGGAAAGAATATCTGACTCCTCCATTTATTCTCACAGAACACTGACAAAGCTATATAGATTAGCATTCAAAAATGTAAAAAAAATTAAAAATGAATGTGATTACTACAAAAGGAATTAAACAATATATCAATATCAAGGTGAAGGAATTAATAAGCACTACACAGTATTCTAAATGGACAAAGCACATGACGTTCAATCAGAAGTAACATCATGGACACAAATTCAAAGAATTATGTACCTTCTCAAATACACAAATAAAGGAATTGACTAGGTTCTTAGCAAACACTTCAAGGTAATCCCCTCCAACATTCTTCACTATGGAATCCACTAAGTACAAAACTGGGAGCTTCTCACCAGGTGTCGCCTAAAGTGATAGAAAACTGACAAGTTTAGAGAACAACATGGGAGAAATGCAAAACTACATTGAGTTAGTTTGAGGTTACCAAATGGTATGAGTTTAAATTTAAAATACTGGCACAAAAGACAAAAATCAAGCACTTAGGGTGAAGTCCATGGTTTTGCACTGAAAAATGAAAATCCTCAAAACCAGATCCATCAAAAATCAGGGGAAAGTTCAGATGCAGGTACAAAAAACATCCATGTCCCAGGTAAAAGAAAAAACATCTTCAATGTCCACGCTTCATGCTCAGTCCATCAAGCAGGTTTTTGTTTTGTTAGGTTGTCAGTACAATTTAGTTTGTTACTGGTATCACTTTATAAACTCCAGTTTCACAGAGACTTTTAGCAAGAAGCCCAAGCCCTTTAAACATAAAAAAATAAAATAAAGGGATGAAGCTCCTTTCACTTGTTTGTTTTTCTTGAGCAAGAATTCAACTCCATGATCCACTTTAATTCAAGTTTAGATTTGATCTTCGTATTTTTTTTTTGGGGGGGGGGGGGGGGGGGGGGACTTGGTCTTAACATTTTACACAAGTCCAGAAAAAGGTTGACAAGTTGTGACCCACATGCCACAGTGCAGAGAGCTGTTTTTGCAAAATTCCTTAATTTCTTTCTTTTAGTAATTTTTACACATTCGACATTGGAATGTCATTGGAAAGGACAACACCAATGCATATGCTTTTGTATTAAAGAGCATTTAGATTAGACTGAAATCAATAGCAAACATTACCACAAAAAATACACTGGGAAATAAAGACAAAAGGACATTTCACATAGTTTATTGTCACAATTGTATACCATTTATTAACATTTCAGAAAAGAATGTAAATTTACTCAGCAATCTAACACCCCAAACCCTTTATTGGTTCAAGTACAAAGCAATTTGAATGGCGCACATTTGTATTAAAGACTTTAAATCCAGGCGTACTCATTTTCATGGTGCAGCCCAACACGACTATTCGAACTAGTGCAAGATTTCAAATAGATTGAAAACAAACAAAAATATAAAAAAATTCCACGAATTTTCTAAAAAATACCCAGCCATCTATATAGGGAGCAAACCACGTGTACCAGCTGATGAAAAGACATGACTACAACCATGGGTATGCAAATGCTTATATCTGATTAATTGTTAAATGCAAGGACAGAGCGTACTGAATATTAGCATTTCTAATCAATACAACTTTACAAGATTATAATTTGTGCAAAGTACACATTGGATACAAACTATAAAACGACGATGACTCACGTCGCTGGGTTGATTAAGTTAGATAATACGGAAATGTCTAATCATTCATAACTAGGGTTCTTGTGGATAAATTAAGAGTAATACAACCATGAAATTAATTACATTTCACCAGATAATTATATATGGACAAAGAACAATGTAAAGTATAACCTACTGAAATGTTGGTTTAAGGCAATACATCAAATTGGTATTATCATAGAAGAGTGACTGTAGCGAGCTGCTGTCATTATCCCATAATCGTATTGTGAAGGGAAACGTGGAATATTAACTTCAAGCCAAATGTGCGTCAACAGTAAGTCCGACTTTATGACCAGCTGGAACCCAACAAGCAGATAAACATGCTGCTCCAACTGGACTAATTTGATAATGTTGAACGGTGAATCTCTTTTCTAAGCCAGAAAACAGAGCATTCTGACTGATAATAAATAAAATGATTTATATCATGATAAATTAGGAACTAGTTAACGATAATGTTTTACGTCGATTTAAACCATGTAATTAGCGAACTCGTCGTGCTACCGCCATGTTACTGGCCTCATGTCATGTCGTCATTTAACTAACTGGCCACACGAGCTACAAGACGATGACTGAAACAAAACAAAAATAAATCTATTTTCATAAAAACCTTGGCAATTTGTGCTTCAATAATTGCGACGATATCCTTGGCGAACTGGATGTTTTCTTCGGCAAGAATGGTGAGCATGTTGATGTGCGGTTTGCTGTTGAAAGTCAGATCTTCCAGCGAGGACTGATACTCGCGGCAGGCGTCCTCCCTCGCGCCTTCGTCCGACATCTTTGAGCCGTTGAGTCGAAGGCTGTACTAGCCACACAATTTAAACTATTATACAAACATTAGTTGCAACACAGTCCTCTTAAACATCTGTATTTCGTCTTGGTTTCCTTTGTACGTCGAATGCCGTCCTGTGTCTCCTCACGTCTTGCTTTTTTTGTAACGATATTTCTTGTTTCTGTTGAGCGTTGCAAAATGTCCGTCGTACTTCAGCGGAGACTACGCGTCATCTGAAACGTTTTATACTTGAACGCGCGTCACTGCTTCCCGATTGGCTGCGCTGAAACGCACGAATTCGATTGGATAATAAAAACTTTGCTCTTAATGTCATTGGTCAAAACAGAACTAGTATATTCAAGAAGAGCCTATCAGAATGAAATAATTATATAAATCAATAAAATCACAACAGAGTACAATGTCGTCATCACCTTGAGTTAAAGATACACACTATAGAATAATTTGCATAGAATAGAGGTTCAACGGATTCAAAACAATATAGAGAATTATTTTTCTGAACAAGGTATATGCAGACTTTTGGAAATTGTTTACCCTATCTATTTTTGGGTTATAATTGTCTATCTTGAATACATCAGCATAGCTGAAGTATTGATAACACAAAGCAAAATGGACACAATTTTAATGACCAAGCTTGTTTTTTCACCCTTTTTATTATAGGCTACATTTGTAAGTCAGAACATTGACTATCAAACACGTAGAGTCAGTGTTTAATTATGTATTTAAAATTAAACTCATAAATTTAATTATGTTTAAATATGTAAATACATATTAAGGTCATAAGAATAGATTATTCTGGGTAAGTATATATTGTACAAAATTAAAACATTGTTTTGTTCTGGAATAAAACTCTTTAATTTTCAGTTTTCAATTTTTTATAGATTATTGGAACACTTATTTACAACATTTCATACTTACAAAATAGTTTATTTGAAATTACATTTACAAAACAGAACAAATATATTTGAATTAATCTCTCGCTATTTTAACCAAAAAATGAATTTTCAAAAAGATCTCTGGACCATTCATTAACAGATAAATTACAACTTGCATCCTGCTTGTCAGTCTCACCTGAGAAACCCTCAGACCCAACTGTCAGCAGCTGATCAAAACTTTGTCTTTTATCACTTAACCCCAGATCTGTGATCTTACTTTGAATCTCACATTGAATTGCTCTGGGGCACAGTGAGATTACACGTCTTCGGGTTCGCCCGCTCTTCTGTTCACATGAGTGCTGATGATGATAAGAAACTGGGGTGGATTGCAAAAATGGTGAAAACAGCAGGGAACCTGAAACTCCAGGCTCTGATGTGTTGACATTCCTCGGTTCATTTACTTTAGAAATCTCTGTCACATCCGAAATGTTCATGTCCATACTGCTTTGACCAGAAGCAAACAAGTCTACAGAGCAATTGTACTTCTCTCCATGGTCATCAAACACAATCAGTTCCTGCTTGACTTTGCAGTTTACAGAATGGACCTCACTTTGTGCACAATGCCTGAAATATTTGCTCTCTTCATGGTTTACTGAACAAAAAGTCACAGATGGTCGGCTTTTGGTCAATTTTTTTCTTTTTAAAGTGCGTTTTTTGTTCGAAAAAGACAACCCGTTGTTTGTAGGGTGATTAAATGCACACATAATGTCAGGACTAAAAGGCATCGTATTTTTTAGCCCTGAATAATTGGCTGTGCACAGAACAGTGGGAGTCTTAGGGATCTTAGCAATGTTCATCTTAATTTCAAGATTTTCTGGACACTCATTTTCATCGTTCTTCTTCCAGCTTATATTGTTCACATTGCGCATTGGTGAGGTCAATTCATCACCACAAAGAGGCATTTGTGTAGTCTTTGAGATACAGCTTATGACCACTGAATTTTCAGTCAGATAGCACCTATTTTGCACTTGAATCATTTCATCTCTTTTACCTAAACTACACTCCTTTGTGTCATTTATCTCTGATATCTGAGGCTCAACCCTAACAAAATCTTGTAAGCTTTCTGATAAAGGCGCATCTTCTAAACCAAAACAAACATTTTGACCAGAATGACTATCAAGTGACTTCTCATGAAAAGATGAATCATAATCAGCAGATTTAGCTCTTACAAGGCAGTGTCCGGATGGAGTTATTTCAGAATTATTTTCGCAGGGAAAGTTGCTCAATGGATTCATAGTGTCACATGCAGTCGAACCGTTCAAGTGTGCAGATGATTCAAACATGTCAAAGCTTGAGGAAAAAGATTTTTCCTTTTTCCTTTCATTCTTCAGTTCATCCTTTATACAATTAACATGCTTCAACTGACTGCTGTTGCTTTGACATGTGCATTTACATGTTCTTGTCTCTTCTTTCTTTGGTGAAAAAATATTACGATCACAGTCTCTGGACAGCTGATTACTTGATATTTCCGGAGGGAAGCATAAGCCGGGCGATTGCCATGGGCTTGAGATTGTGAATCCTTCACTGCTGGGTTGAGAATCCAGCCTTGCACATGATGGAGGAGTATAATCAAATCTGTTGAGTTCATCTCTTTGTGAACTTTGTGAGTCTTTCTGTTGTGATGGACAGATATCGTTTGCAGATTCAGAACAGCACATATGTGAATTTGCTTGCAAGAGGTTTTTAAAATAAGCGATTACAGTGCATCCCATCAAAGACTCACATGGAGAAATAATTTGGCAGGCCACTAACTGTCCAGACAGCGAAGAAGTTTTGGCAATATTATGAGGAACCTGTTAGGAAGGAAAAAGAAATAAGCAAAGTAAATAAACAAAGCAGATAATATACTGTAGATGCCCCACCCCAAATTAAATTAAGAAATTCTTCATACCTTTAATCCGAATATGACACATCTTCCTATAAAGCAGTCTTCCACAGCTTTGACAAGCAGTTGTTGAACAGTATGTGCGCCATCAGTTTTCTCTGAATCAATAAAACTGGGAAAATCACATTTTATATCAGCAATGAATCAACAGAAATGCTTGTTAAAAATGTTTACAATTTGCTTTAAAATATACCGTTGAAGGCAACCAGCAGTAATGCCAAAGAAGGGATTTAAACAGCCACCGAATACAGTCACACCAAATATATCTTGGTTTCTGGACACTTTAAATGACAGCCTATATCTGTGGTCCACGTTTTGTAAGTCACATGTGAATCCACACCTTCCACATGTAGCCCTAAAGATATTGATACAGGAGTTAAACACTCATTCATAATGTTCAGACAATAGTACTCGGACAATAGTAATTATGTTATAGCAACAGTAATTACACATTTATGACACTTTCACCAAATACATTGCAACAAACATAATTCGATAAAGCTCAGAAAAATTGGTCATCTGAACTCTTGCCACTGCCACGTACCTTCTGCTCGCCTGAATTAATCTGGACAGACAGCCTTTGCAGCATGGATATATAAAACAAGTGTCTTGCAGAGAAAGTATTGTGCAACTCACGAGAGCCCGTGTATTGCTCATAAGTGCTTATACTACTAGCAAAGTTTACAAACATTGATCATGATAACGCTATTCTCTACAAGGAAACAGCGGACTCGGATAACAAAGGACTCATATCATATTTATATTTACATCTACAATATTAAACAAATTAAATAATAAAGGATTTCATTTAAACGTAAAAGATCAGAAACAAAAAAGTTAGCAACAGCAAAATCGCATTTCAAAACAAGAACGATGAGTTTCTTCCTCGTTTGTTTTATCTTTCACTCCTCAGGAAGCACAGCGCCATCTACCGTACAATATTATGAATGATATCTGGCGATCTATGTAGTTTTAAAGCAAAGATCATTTTTTAAATATTTTAATAGTATTATATTTTTAGATTTAAATGAGTGAAACTTTGTGATCACGTTAATGCGATATGTATTTCTGCGCTTTGTTCTTACCATTCATACTGCAGGTGTCAGTGTTGCTTGCGAGATGAGCGCGTGGTGGCAGTGGTGGGTATTTTCATCAGATTTTCATTCATACAAATGAATCGATTCTTTTGAATTACCTCGATACCTCGAATGCTGTTTGCTCGCGATATTGTAATTCTTTGAATGCAGCAAAACAGTATCTCTGTTTGTTTTTGTTTGTTTAAAAGAGAGAAGTTCAGTGAAAGAAAAAGAAATCGTGCCAACTAGAACGAAAGATTCGTTCAAAAGATTGATTCGAAAAATGATTCGTTCACGAACAAAACACAACAAGAATGTAATGTAAAACATGTTTAACATTTTTACACCTCTCTTTTTAAGTAGAACGGCATGAAGGGCTGTTCATTGTATGATTTTGAAAGTTTTGTTAAAGCTAAAACGATATAATATTGTGTAATATCTTTATACAGTCACTGGAGGAAGCATCAACACTGTAGACGTGTTTCCCCCGGACAACTGTGAGCAAACACCGCGGGCTCTTTGATTTGGTTGTTTTTTGTTTTCCTTTACCCTGTTTTGGTTTCTTAGAACTATCATTAAATATGCATGTACACAAACGTATTTTAAATGGCTGAAAGGACAAATTTAATATTACTCTTTTAAATGGTTTGCGATGGTGTTATGCAAATAACTTGATTCTGAATTATGTCAGCTCAACTGGCTAGAATCACGAGAGAAATGCCAGTAACTTCTAAATTCAGTAACATGAGTTTGTTTATGCCGAGCAACGAGAGGTAGCAACACAACAGCTAACGTTACCATAACAAAATATTTGATTTAACTTTTTAATTTTTATTCGACCTCAGCATTGTATTAGTTTACAGCCATTTAATTGTTTTAATGTGATGACTACTTCAACGACAAGTAAGATCTATTTGGGACAGCATCGGATTGTAAAGACAAAAGGGTAAGATATGTAATCTGAAACTGTGTTGTGGTTCTATTGATGGTGTACGCTTCTGTTTACAAACTTGGTTGACATGGAGCTTTGAATGGTTCACCTGTTTAATTTGACGTTTTGAACCCTTAGAAGAACTTTGTTTATGTACACAAATAAATAAGCGAGACATTGTTTGAGTGCCCATTGAAACCATTGGTGTTTAAATAACAGAACTATTTATTATTTCGTTTTTAGATAAATATAGCCTTTTTCCTCAGGATGAGAAACAACAGCTTGTTTTAGCTTTTGTAAGTTGTTTTGTCGGATGTGAAATGTACTGTTGTCTCTAACTTTTAGTTTTTCATGTAGCTTAGTTCTTGCAGATGAGAAACCATCGAATAGACAATCAAGTCACCTGCAGGCATGTTCCTCTGCAACAGATATATGTGAGAAGAGAAGATGTAATGAGCCAACTGTATGTTTTTAATTGTTTTATTCAATATTATTACACTGATAAGCTTGGTTACACTACGTGAAAAAAATAACATTATCTTTTTAAAAGCAAATGCAGAATAAGCAATGGATGCCAGGAGACTCCACTCTGGCTATGGATGAGGATATTTTACAAGCCATTGATGAACTGGGTCCAGAAGTCTTGAAATTCAAGAAAGATGAAAATATTCAACATACAACTGAATCGGTATCACTTAAGAAAAACTCTGACTTGCCACAAAATATATGTGAGCAGCAAGTACAAAATGCAGAAAATATCAGCCCTTCAAGTCCAGGGTCAGTGTGGTCACCATCAGAGCGCAAAAGAACCAGAACACAAGCCAAAAAAGAGAATGATTGGAGGGATTTGGCTCAAAAGCTTTTGTTCAGTGAAACCAAAAAGACTGAAGCAAGAGCCCGTGGCCGTGAGTTGAAATGTGACAGGGAATATTATTCACCTCAAAAGATCCTGAACTCCATGAAAAAAACATCTAAAGTAGCAAATGACAAGCAAAATTTAAAGTTCAGAAGAGATGCCAGCCCAAATGACTCTGTCAGTAGTACCTCCAAGGATTACATTTTGTTCAGTCCGACACATATGGCTTCTGCTAAAGAGCGATCCATGTTGCAGAAGAGATCAATGAAAAACCTTTCGGTCTCTGTGCTGACCCCTCCTCCTGGACTGGATCTTAGTGTCCTCGGTGATGCTACACTCCCAGATGCAGGTAGATAGAATTTTCCACTATTGCATGGCCGATGTCACTATTTGATCACCATTTGATAAAGTGACTTCAATATGCAGATTTTCATTAATTGGAAGTTTTGTCTTTCATAATAATCATCATTTCATCATTAATAATAATCAAAATAGACATATTTTGTAATATTATAAATGTCTTTACTGTCACTTTTGATCAATTGTCCTTTCTGAATAAAAGTATTAATTTATTTTTAAAAAAGAAATTTACTGACTCTAAACTTTAGAACCATTTAAGTTTGAGTGGCATTTTACTATTCAAAACTATAATTATTGCATAATAATAATATTTGATAATAAAAATAATTATCCCAAACAGCAGAAAGCATCCATATGGGACGTCCTGCCAATCAGTCAGACAAGCTTATGCTCTCCAGTTGGGGTCTCCCTAAGCCTGTTCTGGAAAAGTACCAGAGTCTCGGCGTTCAGAGGATGTTTGAGTGGCAGGCTGAGTGTCTGACCTTGGGCAAAGTCTTGGAGGGCCAGAACCTGGTGTATTCTGGTAAATAACAGTTTTTTCTTCGTCTTGTTGTCCGCAAATGCTTTATTTGTCCTTAATCCTGTTTTCCTGGGAAACAGGACCTGCTGCAACAAATACAAAATATATACTTATAACTACTTATGCTATTTTTTAGAGCTGCACGATTTTGGATAAATTGAGAATCACCATTTTTTAGTTTCAAACAGAGATCTCGATTCTCCCGTGATTCTGAACAGACAAATAACAAAAATAACGTGTGATTTACTAGTGGTTCTGACAAAATGTTTATTACTGCTGTCTATTTAAAATGTTTAATTGATCTGAATGATTAAAAAACGGTTTGAATTAATGATTCAAACACTTCACTTGTTTCATTACTGTATGAATCAGCATTTTTTTTTAACAAATCTCTTGAATAAATGATTCAATAACAATAAATGTTTTAACAGACACCACTTACTGGTGTAGCGATGTAATGATACAATCGTTATTTGAAGCAACATGTTACTTTCAAAAGCTGATTTGCTTGAGATTGCGACCTTTTAACGATTAATCGTGCAGCTCTACTATTTTTCTAGAATATCTGTAATTATGTGATATTTTTTTCCCCAGTTTTAAAAATTGTATATGTTCTTTTTTAGCTCCAACCAGTGCAGGGAAAACTTTGGTTTCTGAGTTGTTAATCTTGAAGAGAGTTTTGGAAACAAGACAGAAGGCCATGTTCATTCTTCCTTTCGTGTCTGTGGCGCGAGAGAAGATGTTTTATCTACAGGTTGGTTTCCTTTTCTTGAGTTCATATATAATTGTCAACTATAAGTCAGTTGGCCCACTAATCATTTATTGTATTTTTCTTCTTCGACTATGACTGTTGTACTATACGGCATGTACATATATTTCTGAAGGTAATACGTCTGACAGTCTGCATCTTGGATTTTTGTTGATGAGATTTGCTAATATTTTACTTGCCATTTTCACCCAGAATGTATTTCAGGAGGCAGGGGTCAGAGTGGAGGGGTATATGGGTAACACTTCAGCAGCTGGTGGGTTTTCATCTCTGGATGTTGCTATTTGCACAATAGAGAAAGCTAATGGACTCATCAACAGGCTCATTGAAGAAGACAAATTGGATCTACTTGGTAAAATAATGACATCTCCTTACCTCTTAACTTTCTGTCAGGTGCTTTTATAAAAGTAAATGTTCGCCCAAATTGCAGGAATTGTTGTGGTCGATGAGCTGCACATGCTTGGGGACTCTGGTCGTGGATATCTGTTAGAACTTTTGCTGACAAAAATCCAATACATTGCCCAAAAAAACTCAGCAAGGTATGTCATAATGTAATGTAAAAGTCTTCAGCAATGGTCCTGATAATCATCATCTATGGTGAAGGTCAACATCTTCTCTATTTTAAGGGACTCTGGTCAAAGTACTTCTCCTGGTGTCCAAATTATTGGTATGAGTGCCACGCTGCCAAACTTGGACCTTCTTGCCCGCTGGTTGAATGCTGAGCTGTATAGTACTAACTATCGTCCTGTGCCATTGATGGAGTGGGTCAAGATCGGCTCAAATGTCTATGACGGATCTCTGAACCTGGTCAGACAGTTCACCCCAGCTCTTCCAGTTAAGGTCTGAGTTTGACATATTTGTTGGCATATTCATAAACTCTACCAGCTAATGTTAACATCTGAATATTCTCAGTAATAGATCAGATGTTCTTCCGTCCATAGGGAGATGATGACCACATTGTCAGCCTCTGCTTTGAGACAGTGCGGGACGGACACTCTGCACTGCTGTTCTGCCCTTCAAAAAACTGGTGTGAGAAATTAGCAGATACCATTGGAAGAGAGTTTTACAATCTTCATCACAAAGGTTTGCAGATACAGATATGGGAATTTGTTGATATTTTACTATCGAGATAATGTATTATGGTTTAACAATGTTTGCTTTTACAGAAATGCAGTCAGGGTCTGGAGTGCAAAGTATATGTCTGAAGCAGGAAGGTCTCCAGGATGTAGTAGCGCAACTCAAGCGCACTCCTGCAGGCTTAGACCAGGTCCTTCAGCGGACTGTTCCCTGGGGGGTGGCCTTCCACCATGCAGGTACATGTGCTTTAATGTTAAACTTACATTGATTTTTCACGTAAATACACATTTTTATTAATAAAATTTCAATACATTTTCACAAGTTTTTCTAAATATTTATTAACCATTATTTCAGCTAAAACTTTTTTTTTTACAAACGATGAAACAAAATGAAATAAAAATAAAATAGAGATGCTTAAAGAATGCAATTAAATAATTAAATGAAACAATTAAAAAAAGATTCAAGTGATCAACGTTTTTTTTTTAAATGCACTTTTTTTGTCATTCTAAAAAGATGAGGACATTCAGTAAAACCCTTGAAACCTTTGTTTCAGGTTTGACGTTCGATGAGCGGGATATTCTAGAAGGAGCTTTTCGTCAGGGCTACATTAGGGTGTTAGCGGCCACCTCCACATTGTCGTCTGGTGTGAATCTGCCCGCTCGACGTGTGATTATCAGAACTCCTGTTTTCAATGGTCATTTGCTGGACATCCTGACCTATAAGCAGATGGTGGGACGGGCAGGCCGTAAAGGAGTGGACACCATGGGTGAGTGATTTATTATATTATATTAGTTATATTATATTATATTATATAATATTATATTATATTATATTATATTATATTATATTATATTATATTATATTATATTATATTATTTACAACCAGTGTTGGGTGTAATGCATTTCTAAGTAATTAAATCCTTCAGAAATCATTCTAATATGCTGATTTGGTGCTCAAGAAACGTTTTATTATTGTTATTATTATTATTATTATTATCATTATCATCATCCTTGTTAATATTTTTGTGAAAACTATGATAATGTTTTTCAGGATCCTTTAAAGAATAAAAATTTAACAGAAAGAACAGAACAATATGAAATATAAATCTTTTGTAACATAAATGTCTTTACTGTAAATTTTGATCAATAAAATGCTTCCTTGCTGAATATAAGTTTATTTCTTTCCTCTAAGTGACCCCAAACCTTTTGATATATATATATATATATATATATAGAGAGAGAGAGAGAGAGAGAGAGAGAGAGAGAGAGAGAGAGAGAGAGAGAGAGAGAATAAATGAGAGTTATTATGATCTACTGTATGTGTGTCTCTCAGGTGAGAGTGTGTTGGTCTGTAAAGAGGCTGAACGTGCAAAGGGGACGAGCCTTATCCAGGGCTCTCTCAGGCCTATCAGCAGCTGCCTGGTGAAGCAAGAGGGAGAGGGCATCACTACCAGCATGCTCAGGGCCATCCTGGAGGTATGAATGTCTTGCTCCTCGTAGTTTGTTGTATGAAACTTTCTTGGGTGAGTATGTACAGGATTTTATTTCATTACTTTGATTGAAGATCATAGTTGGAGGAGTTGCCAGCTCACCACAGGATGTGAGGATGTATGCTTCCTGCACTCTGCTGGCAACCAGCATGGCAACCGAACAGCCACATCAGGAAGGAGCTGAATCAGAAACTCGAAGCAAAGGGGCTATTGAGGCCTGCATAGAGTGGCTGATGGACAATGAGTTCATACATATACAGAAGGAGGGAGATGGTAACAAAACTAAGGATATGAAAAAAAATCTGACAATATTTTTGTGTGGTGTGTGATGGATGTTGACATTTTGATAATTTGATAATTGTCTGTCTCACAGTGGAGAGGTACTGCCCCACACATCTGGGTTCTGCGACTCTGTCCTCATCTTTATCACCCCCAGAAGCCCTGGGGATTTTTGCAGATCTTCAGAGAGCTATGAAAGGATTTGTGTTGGAAAATGATCTCCATATACTCTACCAGGTTGGCAAAACACTTCAGTTTATCATAGTTAAAGAACAGTTCTTAATATAAAAATATAGGTTATTAACAAAATCATGCCATGCATTTCTAAGATAACACCTGTGTATGTGGACTGGACGACAATAGACTGGTACCAGTTCTTCTGTTTGTGGGAGCAACTACCTTCTACAATGAAGCGGGTGGCTGAGATGGTGGGCATTCAAGAAGGTTTTCTGGCCCGTTCTGTTAGTGGCAAATTAATTGCTAAAACAGAGAAGCAACGAAGACAGATGGCCATTCACAAACGGTGTTGTATTTTTTTAATTTTGAGTTACTGTTTACAGTTAAGTAGCAGTATGTTAATGTGTACATTTTTGTCATGCAGTTTTTTCACAACATTAGTTCTCCTTGACCTGGTAAGCGAAGAACCACTTGGAGCTGTTGCAAAGAAGTATGGCTGTAGCCGAGGACAGCTTCAGTCACTTCAGCAGTCTGCCTCAACATATTCAGGTACATTGATGCAGGCATAGCTATGGATGCTTGATTCTGAGTTACAGTTAAAAAACATAATTGAGATAAAATTTTAAATAGGAAGTGAGATCAAGTTTAAAAAAAGAAATACATTATAACAATATTTTTACATATTTATGTATTATTATAGAAAATAATTAATTATAATAAGCAAAAAATAAAGTTGCAGTTACTTTTTTACACTGAGGTGGAAACAGGCTTACATGCTTATCAGTGTGAGATAAATGGCAAATTTCAAATTTTGCTATTTTTTCCAGGTATGGTTACGATCTTCTGTAACCGACTCGGATGGCACAACCTAGAGCTGCTTCTGTCCCAGTTCCAGAGTCGTCTGAGTTTTGGAGTCCAGAGGGAGTTGTGTGATCTGGTTCGTATCTCTTTACTAAACGCCTCGAGGGCACGTACACTCTACAGCTCTGGACTTGTCACTGTGGCAGAGTTGGCCAGAGCTGATGTTACAGAGGTGGAGAAGGCTCTCAGAAAAGCTATCCCTTTCAAAAGGTAATGAAACTTTGCCGTCATCGAACAGTCAATTTAAGTTAATCTTTAAAATGACTAAAAATTTAATAACACTGTTAAATATGATCTGTAGGAAATATCTTTCGGAATATCCATGTTTCATATGGTACATTACAATGTTGGTATGCCTAAATTTACTTGTAGCATTTAAAATGACTGATTTTTAGTGTTTAGTTGGATGTTAAACTTGCTTGTTTTGGTTAGCGTTCATAACATGAAAATAACGATCAGTTTATTGTTTTGGCCAGAATGTTAATACTTGTTAATTCCTATATTATTTGAAGTCATACAGTGTTAATTTGAATATCTGCAGCTCCAGGCAGGCGGTGGATGAGAGCGAGGTGGAGGCTCAAGAACGCAAGAACATGCGCTGCATCTGGGTCAGTGGGAAAAAGGCCTTGACTGAAAGGGAAGCTGCTCAGCAGATCGTGGCTGAGGCCCGTCTGCTCCTCCAGCAGGATTTGGCTCTTCTTGGGGTGGAATGGAACCCAGCTTCCCTCTCAACAAAGATCCAGCCAGATTCCCGTTCCCCTGAGGAATCATCCAACACAAAACCTCTACAGTCCATGTCAAGAGACCCAGAACATGTAGAAAATGTCAATCCGAATGGGGCCGAACAGATGGCGGTGGATAAAAGTGCTGACATTAGTTCCCATCCTCCTTTGAGGCCATTAGAGTTCACTACCAGTTCAGGAAAAACAATGGATATTGGTGTATCATCTGCCGAGTGTCAGCCTGCTAAGAATTGTGAACAGCAATCAAGTGTACTGCATAAAGTTCTCAAATCAATAAATGCCAAAGATAAGGGCTGTCAGAATAACCAGACAGCTGAGTCATCGGATTGTTCTTCAAAATTACTTCAAAGGAGCTCCGGACATAATTCCTGTCTAAAAAGTACCTGCATTTCTGGCAGTGACGAACATTGTGTAAGTCCAGTTTTGAAACGCAGAAAGATGAATGTTACAGATGCTGAAGCAGTACCCACGGTCAATGGAGCAAAAACGGCAACTCAGATCGCAAAAAACCCTAAACTAATGTCAAAAGCTGAAGAGCTTTGCTCTTATAAACCTGAAACTGACTGTAGAATAGACAAAGACAAGATGAAACTCCAGTCTTCAATTGCTGAACTGAACCAAGACTTTGAGTCAAAAACACTACAGGATGGGGAAGCCACAAATGTCAATGTATTCCCCTCAGGTAGGGGAAAGAAGTGCACATCTAAAACAAAACATTTAAATCAGAGTACACTAGAGGTTTACCATGAAACTCAAAATGAAAAGCGAGAAACGCTTACTCACAGTTTCAGGAAATTCAACAGCAGAATTGAGAATGAAGGTGGCTCACATGTGAACTCCAAAGTTAAAAATGATTTAGCCTGTCATTCTGAAAAGCTCAGCTCCCCTGACTTGTACACAAATGGATTGGAAGAGTTTGGTGATAGTTTTCAACTCGATACTCAGACTGAGAAAATGCTTCAAGGGGATGATTTTTCACATGGCAATTGTAATTTAAACATTCTCAAAGAAAATAAACAGGACAATTATGTTGTTTCAGCAAATAAGATGAAAGTTGTCAGTCAGTCATCTTTCCTTGAAAATGAGAATCATGCATCTAAAAACCAAAACAAAGACCCAGTTGAATGTTTATCATCTAATGAGAATGGCCCGCCCACTGTAGGCAAACCAAAATATAACATCTCACTAACTGACAGCCAGTTGGAGAATATTTTAAATTACAGTAACCAAGTTGCTGAAGAAGAATCAAATGTAAATAAACCCGCTGAGCAAGGGGAAAATCATGAGTCCTCTGATCATATTACTGACAATAGCTTCAACCGGAGCAGCAGCTTTCTGTTTGACAGTCTCTATGACAACTCCATCTTGGACGCCATGGAGGAGGCAGCAATGGATCGAGAAAACAAGGAAGAGCAGGTGATTGAAGCACATTTAAATTCACATGGCTCTTCTCCAGAACTCATTCCGGAGAGGAGAGATGTTGTGTCAACAGAGGATCAGGAAGCAATCCAATGGGGCGAATCATCTTTCAACCTTTCTGAATGGGGAGATTCACTACTTATTGGAGAGCAGTATCTTGATAAAATGAACAATGTTGTCAAGGCTTGTGATGGCCCAAGATTGGGTGCAGAGAAGCCTAGCTATACAGATGACATTGTGTCTGAACTATATGTATCACAAAACAATGAGCCTCATCCAAAAGTTTCATCTGAAAGACGTCAATTAAACCGCTCATCATTTCACATCAGCCCAGGAATGCAGGACATTTTTGATCAATGGTCTGATCAGTTTTCAACCTTATCTGAGCCTCTAGGGCAGTCAAATTTAACTGTGGTGAAACCAAATGCAGCTGCTGCTCTTGTCGAAAAAGCTTTTTCCCTAATAACAAACCATGAGATTGAGCAGAGAGGTCTAAGAAGCGTAAGAACTGAAGATGTTGTGGTAGTCCAGGCCAAACCACTGACACCGAATGACCCTGTTCCTCCCACACCAGTTTCTGAACCAGTAACACCACGGGTCAAAATGACCACCTCAGCTGTACAATCACCTCTTAATGTCACCAAGAACAGGTCCGGACTGGATACAAATTCTAAGTCCAATACCCAGAAAGATAATCAATCTTGTTTGAGGAGAAACTCAGCATCAGAGTTAGACACGTGTCAGGCTGATGAGGGCTTTACAAGACTTTCTCAGTGTCCACCATTTCCTGCTTCTAACTCCTGCAGTCCAGAAACATTTTCCATAATCGATGTGGCAAGCGATAAAAGGCTTTTCCAAACATTTGTAGAGGAGTGGAAAACAAAGGACAGATTTTCTCTTGCTGTTGCCTGTGAGAAGATAGACAGAACCTCAATGCAACCTGAGACAGTTATAGGTGGAAAATTCAAAAAACGTAAGATGCTTTGATGAAATTTGTTTCCTATATGTTTTAGTATTCTAATATACATATAAGTTTATAAACGAATGTAATCCTATGTTTGAAGCTACTACCCCAATGAGGAACAAAAGAAAAGATGGCTTCCTTCTGAAAGGACATGAGGATCTTGTTGTCATTGGCATGTCTGTATGCTGGGGCGCAAAAGATGCTTATTTTGTATCTCTACAACAGGAGCTGTCAGGCACAGGTATGAAACGTGTGATTGTCAACTTTGTGGACTAAGGTCTAAATGTAATAAACCTTAAAAAAAATTACCAACTTCAGCAAACCTGCTCGATTGAATGCTGCTATCCCCAAACCTAATGCTACTCTTGTCTTTCCCCAAACAGATATAAGTGCCAGTTTAGCTCCACCGCCTCTTGATGAGACTCTTACAGTTGAGGAGCGGCTGAAGCAAATTCATTGCTGCTTGGAAAAAGAATCGAGTGTGATGGTCACTTATGACTTTATTCAACATTACAAGACACTTCTCCTGGCGTGTGAGCTTGCTATGCGTGGCACATTTGAAGACCCAAAGGTTAGATGGAAATTAGAGTACAATTTTCTATGCCCTCCATCTTCTCAATTATTGAAATCACAAAGATGGATCTGATAGGGTAGGATGTCTAACTACATTCACTTATTTGTCCTTCAATAGATTGCATGTTGGCTTCTGGATTCAAGCTCCAAAGAGCGCACCCTCCACAACATGGTGTCCAGCTTCACTACTGAGGATCTCCCGATGTTGGAAGCAATTAGTCCCGGTCAGAGTGTGCAGAGTTTAGGGATCTATGGAGATGCCAGTCACCCGGGACGTTATAGAGCTGCTGTTGAGTCTGTTTTGGTCTTCAGGGTCATGACACAACTCAACTGTCTTCTTGAAAAGGATGGTTTCTTGGGTAGCCAACATTATTTTAGCAACTCAATTAGTTTATACCAGGGGTATCCAATCCTGCTGCTGGAGGGCCAATGTCCTGCAGAGTTTAGCTTCAACTAGCCCCTAAACACTTGCTTAGAAATGTTGTAATCCTGAAAACCTTGATTAGATGGTTTAGATGTGTAAAATTAGGATTGGAACTAAATTCTGCAGGGATAGTGGCCCTTCAGTAGCAGGTTTGGACACCACAGGTCTTTGTTCAAGTTAGTGATATAGATACTAATTATTTCATGTCATGTTCTTTTCATTTCCAGATTCATTCAAGAAAGTGGAGATGCCCACCCAATACTGCCTGGCATTGTTGGAGCTGAATGGAATTGGGTTTAGTGTTGCTGAATGTGAGGCTCAGAAACATGTGATGCAAGCCAAGCTAAGTGTTCTTGAATCCCAAGCCTATCAGCTTGCAGGACATAGCTTCTCACTGACCAGTCCAGAGGATGTTGCGGAGGTTATTATCCTTCTCGCCACTCAAAATAATAATACCCCTATACATTTACCCACAAAAAAAAAGGCATTATCCTATGTAAAAACAAAAGAAAATAAACATCTATAATCTTTCATTTCAACTATTATAGGTGTTGTTTCTTGAGTTGAAGCTTCCTCCCAATGGAGATTTAAATGCTCCTAAGAATAAGAAGACACTGGGCTACACTAGAAGACCGGGAGCCCGTATCAAACTTTCTAAACAGTTCAGCACAACCAAGGTACGTTCCATAGTCTCAGATTTTTCTAACATTTAAATCTGTGGTATGTATGCACTTCCTAAATGCAGTCTTTTCTTGTTTCATCAGGATGTTTTAGAAAAGCTCAAGCCATTGCATCAGTTGCCAGGTGTTATTCTTGAGTGGAGGAGGATCACGAATGCTTTGACAAAAGTTGTTTTCCCCTTGCAAAGAGAGAAGAATTGGCACCCACATCTGAAGATGGACAGAATACATCCAATCTCACAGTCACACACTGCCACAGGTGTGAAGCATGAAGAAATAACCTTTGAACTTTGTGTGCGTCTTCTCGGGACAGTATTTTAATGCTTTTCTCACATAGGTCGTGTGAGCTTCACTGAACCAAACATTCAGAATGTCCCCAAAGATTTTGAAATTCAGATGCCAACACTTATAGAAGAAAGTCAACCATTACAGAATAATGGTGCAAGCAAGACATGGTACGGTCTTATGTTGTTGCAGTGCCCACACCCCTCCCTCCCTACCTACCTATTTTATTTAATTCTAAATAACAAAAATACATACATGTCCAGTATTACACATTTAAAATATATTTATTTGTATGATATGTTTATTTATTTATTTCAGGGGGAAACGATCAAAGATAAACCAGCTATTGGCACCCCTTTTAAAAGTATCTGACAAATCACCAGATAAAGGGATGCCATTTTCTGTCAGCATGAGGCATGCTTTTGTTCCCTTCTCAGGTTTGAAACTTTATTGCCGAGGGGTCTGGGTCAAGAGAGCACAATTTAAAGGGACACATGTTTGCTTTTATAAAATGATTTATGCCACATTAACACTACCTGTTTTAATCTTATACACATCTTCAGGAGGTCTGATTCTGGCTGCTGACTACTCACAGTTGGAGCTTCGCATCTTGGCTCACCTGTCCCGAGACAGACGGCTCCTCCATGTGCTTAACAGTGGTGCAGATGTGTTTAAAAGCATAGCAGCTGAGTGGAAAATGGTGGAGCCTGCTTCGGTTGATGATAATATGAGGCAACAGGCCAAACAGGTTTGCTACATTTGAATTTATTTATTGCACATACATTTACATGCACATATTCTAGATCATTAAGTCTTTCAAAAAAGTATCTCTTTTTAATGTAAAAGACTATACAGTGATCCCTAGTTGAATCACTTGCAACTGCTAATTGAAATTTTGATAACACTTTAGTTTAGGGTCCAATTCTTACTATTAACTAGTTGTTTATTAGCATGCATTTTACTAGGATATTGGCTGTTTATTAGAACTTATAAAGCACATATTAATGCCTTATTTTGCATAACCTTATTCTACATCCCTTAATCCTACCCAATACCTAAACTTAGTGACTGCCTTACTTGCTATTAATAAGCAGTAATTATGTGTTTATTGATGCAAAAGTGGTAGTTAATAGTGAGAATTGGACCTAAACTAAAGTTTGACCAAAATTGTATTGGTTGTCACTGAAATCGTAACATCTTTGTCAACAGATTTGTTATGGAATAATCTATGGCATGGGAGCAAAGTCACTTGGAGAGCAAATGGGCATTGAGGAGAATGATGCTGCCTGTTACATTGAGACATTTAAATCCAGATACACCGGTAATTGACAATGTACGATTGCTTTCTGGTCAATAAAGGCTGTAATGATAATAACAGTGTCATTTCTTACTTCTTAAGGCATACAGAACTTTCTCCGTGAAACTGTGCAGAAGTGTGGGAAAAATGGTTACGTGAAGACATTACTCGGAAGGAAGCGTTTCTTGCCTGGAATAAAGGACTCAAACGTGTACATAAAGTCTCACGTAAGTCTTCATGAGCCCGCCATTCGAATATATCTGCTGTGGAATAAGAGTTTAATTTTGATCCTCCTTTTTAGGCAGAGCGACAGGCAGTGAACACAACCGTGCAGGGCTCTGCCGCTGACATTGTGAAATTAGCAACCATCAACATCCAGCGCAGACTGGAAGCAGCGTTTCCTGGAGTGCCCACATCACATCGGCACCCTCTAGTTAAAACGGGTATGACCCACTTCATATTATAGCATTTTTAACTTTTAAATGTGGGATGTGAATTGAATATGTTTTTTCAGGTGGTCGACACAGAAATCAGTTCAGACCGTCTCGAGGAGGCTATTTTATACTTCAGCTGCATGATGAACTTATCTATGAGGTTGCAGAGGAAGATGTCATTCAGGTAATTAAGACGACCATTCTTTCTGAATAATGCGTTTACTATGGAATATAAAAAAAGCTCAATGGTGAAAGTCAAACTCAAATTGTATTTTTTTTTTTTACAGGTTGCTCAGATTATGAAGAGAGAAATGGAATGTGTTGTAAAATTATATGTAAAGCTTAGAGTAAAAGTCAAAGTGGGTCCAAGCTGGGGTAACCTTCAAGATCTGGATATATAAAACAAGTCATCTACTGTTTATGATTGTTTTACATTAATGAATTGTTAAAACACTAAATGTACAGATGTGTTTTTATATATGCTGTAAATATTTTTAATCTAAAATAAAATTCAACAGAGGCTAATAAGAACTTGTGTAAAACTTGAAATGCAAACGTTTTTGTACATTTTTGTCCAAAACATTAAAAAGATCGAACATAACACATTTGTTTGGTTTCATTGTTTTTATTTCTTATTAAGTTAAGTGTGAATTTGCTCCTTTTTTAATTGAAGAAATAAGTGTAAACCAAAAAACTGTTTTGTTACTTGTATGATGGATATCTTCACTTTATGATAGGAAAGTACGGACAGTGCCTTTGACCAATCCTCTACATATGGGACACTTGCGCAGAGAAGGCGCACATTCTTTGCACACAACTAGGTGACCACAGGGGATGAAGACAATGTTCACTTCCTTATCCATGCAAACTTTGCATGTGCGCTCCTCTTGAAGTCTTCTTAATTGTTCCTCCATAGGCAAGTCTGTGAACATGATGGACACTGTTAATTGCTTTAAACAAACTCTCTGTTTCAGAGTGGGATCTAACTGATTTTCTTAGTGTGATGGCTAGAGATAAAAAAGGTGCAAAATCAAAAGAAAACCTTTTCTCATGTTTGAATATACCTGAAAGATCTTGACTCGGTGATGCAGCTTCATTTGTCTGGGCTGAAATTGCAGTAAGAACAAAAAAATAAAAATTGGTTGTCAATATAATGTAGTGATATGTTTGATGTGGATTTGTCCCTGCTCATTTTAAGATCTTTATAAATGGCATCACCTTTTCTTTTTTTCTTTTTTTAAGTGATTCAAGTGTTCCTATCTACTGGCCGTGCAGTTTCACACAGACTAACGACATGTAACACTGAAAATTCACACACTTTTTCTCGTATCTGATTCAAATATCGCATACCCATCAGTTCTCTCAGCAGGTAGACATCATTCTTCTTGATCCAGTTGCGGAAAACCTCTGCTGCTGCATTTCCTTTCGACAGGACTAACTCAATGAGCTGCCCTGTCTGCTGCTTGACTGTAGTGCAGTTACGAATAATGTCATACTCTTTCTGTGAGATGACGTTCTCCTCTAGAAGATGGTCCATTAAGCTCTGCACACTTTTTAGGCGCTGTGACAAGGCAACGTGATGTTTCTTAAGAAAAGTAAAACCATCTGTAAAGAAACACAATACGAGTTAGATTAAATTGAATCAAAACATTGATTCATGAGACCCAATCTTATTCTGTAGAAATACCTGATGCCATTTCCTCAGCAAGAAGCTCTCGCTCCTCCTCTCTCTTCTCATCTTCTGCACTTAGTAAATCAGACACCAATTCTTGAACGGTTTTGTAATTCTCTCCACTTGCGAGAATTTTGCTCTGAACGGTTTGCTTCACCAGGCCACGCTCAAATCCCATCTCTAAAGCTGACTTCACCACGGGATTGTTCATCATCACTGCATCTTCTGAACGGTCTTCTCCAGGACCAAGGTGTACAACTACACATGGGTTTAAAAAAAAAAAGAAATCTTATTCAATTGCGATGAACATTCTTTTAAAATTAATATTGACATAATATTATGTCCGTATTAATGTTATAAAAGTTACCCAGGCAGTTAAAATAACTCAAATGTTGATCTCATCAATGAAATTTGGCTTCATTTTGCACTTTCAACCAAATTTCTCAACTAAATTTAGAATCTACTTTAGTCAAAGTAAACTTGACTAAAATGAATGAATATAAAACTAAATTTCAAGGATATGTTCATCAAAGACAAAACAAAATAAAAATATTGTCACTGGTGGTAAGCCTAAAGATACAGTGTAATTTTTATGGAGAATGAGCATCACAAGTAGCTCCAAATCACTAGAAAACAACTTACCAGGTGGATCAACAAATTCTCTTGAGTTGCTGTCTCCATTAGTCAAGAGCTGTAAGACATGTGAACTAGGTAAGATATCCATCAGTGTGCATCACATCGTTTAAAGAACAAATGACCCCAGAATCTCCCGTATACCTGTTCAAATAGTCTTGGAAATCTTGCTTGAATCTGATGAACAAACTCTTGGCCCTTTTCTTGCAACAGGTATTCACATCTAGAAAAACATAAATGCATAATTAATATAATGCCATCATGGGACAGAAAACGACTCCAAAAGCCTCTTTTATTTACCTTGGAAACCACTTAGCATGTTCTACCCATGGATCATCACCAGACTCCCAACATCTGAGTCCACCATCACAGCAAAAGCACTTCACGTCGTCATTACGACCTACCGAAACGGAAATAATTGTGAGTATGTTAGCATGAGCATCTAAGCACTAAAATTAGACCTTGAATGACTTTAATAATATGACCAAGGCTCTTACCAACATAGTAAAAACCAGCTTTAGCCAATTGGTCTGGTCGAACAGGTATTCTTGAGGGCCAGTTGACAAATGTGAGCAACCTTTCTTCACACTGTTGCATTGCCGAGTTAGATACATTGGAAAGGCCGCCACCAGATAAAGGTACATTATCTGCACGGTCGCCTCGAACGAAGCGACAGTTGGGGTAATGCCTCTGGTGCTCTGATACTGCCCGATCTCCCGGTTCCCAGTTGCTAAGCTGGCCTCCACAACTGAAGCAGGCCACCCTGTCGCCCTGACCAAGGTAGTAGAAACCAGCTTTGGCAAGCTCGGCTGGAGTTACTGTAGCAAGAGTCCAATTCTGAAAGGTGTCAAGGCGTTCCTGTTCCCGACGCATACCAGGATTGTGACAAGCTGGAGGTCGCTGGTGAGACATATCCTCTACTCCACGGGAGGAAATGGGACTGGAGGGGGCCAGGTTGCTGAATCCCATGTTTAAGTAACCCACCTGCTCCTCCGTTTGGCCTGAAACGGATGCCGTGGTGGTCGACGTTACTGCGGTCGCAGGGGCGGACAGCTGTAGGATGGCTACGTTGCGAAGCGGGGAAAAGGCAGAGTGAGAGGACGACAGGAGGTTTGCGGTGGCGGGTAAACTCTGGATGAAGCTGCAGTTGGGAGAGAGCTGTTTGTGGCGTTCGGCAGGGCAGTCGCCGGACTGCCAGTTGTCGGCTGTCATATTGCAGCGGAAACACTGGACACGATCACCCACTCCGGTGTAATAAAACCCTGCCCGCGCAAGACTCCTCTCTGTCACTGCTGCAGTGGTGGGGAACTTGGCATACGTTGATATACGAAAGAGTTCAGAAGAATTGTCATATTGTAAATCGGCAGGGGAGCTATTGCGACACAAACCACGAAGGAAAGCACTGTTTTGTAGAATTTCCATTTGAAAAAAAAAGAGAAAGAAAGGGATGTCCAGCAGAGAGAAAGGCTTGATTGTAATACCCTGTGTGCGTGCAGAGAATGAACTATGTGAGCAAGACAAACAAGATTACACAAACATCTAACCCCTTACGAAAAAAAAAAATCCAAATTCCTCCTTATCAATCATCTCCTTACAACATGACTGGATTACACCACAGGGGCCAAAGTTGGGTTTCTTCATAGAAATGGTGACACGTGCCTTGAAAACTCCATGAACATAACGTGATACATAACGCAAGCTTGGTTAGATGAACAAGATGAGTCGTATAAAATCCCTGCACGGCAGCTTTTGAAACTCATCCTGGATCACTAGGAAATACACCAAAGCTACACTGAACAAAACACATTTTTAAATGAAAAATTGTGGTTTCTTTGGACCGTAACATATGGTCAATAAGAAATCTAACATAAAAATGTGACCACAGGGTGTGTCCATTCAAGCCTTTCTCTCTGCTGGATATCCCATGACTGGTGTCTAGTCGTCCATGACAGAACACATAATCTTATTAAAAAAATTAAATGAACTCCTGAACAGATAAAAGGTCGACGTAGGAGGTATGTGCTTCCTCCCTCTATGATGCAGGAACCTGAAAATAACACAGAGAACAGGTCTAAATTAAGGTCTCGAATTTCCCAATACATGAAGGGTAGAGTTAAACTTTTATATCAGGGGTTTTCAGCAGGACTCTGCTAATCAAGAATGAAAATATAATAATAAATAGACCCGAGCCAGAGTGCGTGCGTGCGTGTGTGTGTGTGCTGCTCCAAATGTTGTTTCTGGAGGTTCTTCTGCATTAAATAAGTGAAGTCAGAATGAAACAGACCTTGCAGTCATATTTTCTTTAAAAAGCTCTAGGTTGAAGACCACTGTGGCCGGTTGCAAGAACTGCTATGACTAGTCTTTCAAGTTAGTCATCTAATGCCGCGTTCCAGGCAACCTGTAACCTGTGTTTTTCCAACTCGTAACTGGGAGTACATCGTTCCAGGCAACCTGTAACCCGTGTTTTTCCAACCTTATACCCGTGAAAGTGCACTGGAACGGCAGTCAAACCCGTGACTTCCCATCCGTGAACTCGTACTAGATCGATGTACTCCCAGTTACGAGTTGGAAAAACACGGGTTACGGGTTGCCTGGAACGCGGCATAATTTTTTACTTCAAGACTGGTCCTAAGGTAGAATGGTCTACTTTGAACCCATTAATGTAAGAAAGATTAGCCCTAACTAATTGCTAATTGGCCAGACTAGTTCTTAAGACACAGTCTTAACTTCATAGCTTCTTTAATACAACTGGCCCCTGCTGGATTTATCATTGCAGTGAATACAAATAGCAGATCATTTCCTGCTTCTGGAACGGTCACTTCCTCGTTCCTCCCACCAATCAACACATTACAAGTAAGTTACAAAACAGAAGAGATTCCTTTACTTATTTTCATTCTCTGACATCAAATACGTTTTTAAAAACTTGGCTTTTATCATAGGTTAAGGTTTTATCTTAACACAAACGCAAACCAAACAAAACCAGTTTTCTTTTTCTTTTTCTTTTTGTTTATGTGATGCATGTCCACTGGATGGTGATGATTCCGACATTCCACCCCTTGTTCTGATAGGTGTGATCTTTGATGTATTCGACTCGAAAAGCAAATAACTTGATGTGACTCATTCCACAGACCACAAGTTTCTGAACCATACGTGGTAAACCCGGTGAAATCCTGTGCATCGTTGTCACGGAAAAGGCAGTCGTCTCTTTTCTTGCGCTGCCATTTTCCCAAGTAAGATACTTTGGGTGTAACGTTACCAGACAAATTCTTTCTATTTAAAGGACACAAACAAGACCT